GGGGGGGGGATATGTTGGGCAGGAAGTGAACATTTTGTCCTTGAAGTTGATGTGTTGGAAGCAGATATAATAGACAAGTGTGAGGATTTGAGGGACTCTGACAAGGACCTCTAAAACTGCAGCTCTTGTGGGATGTTCCCGGTCTGCAGACCAAAAGTGGTCCAAGGAAGGAAAACTAGTCACAGGGTCATGGGCGGGCGAGGCTCATTGATGCACATGGGGAGTGAAGAAGACCCCATTTCACCACTTACAGGATCTTCTACTGATGGCCACAACTTACCTTCAGAGGTCTAGTGGGGTCCAGGGCTCAGGGCTGCTCTGGCATCAGAAGGGGACCTACTCAATATGAGGCGGGTGGTCATAATGTTATGGCTGATCGGTCCTCCTGAAACAGACATCTGATGTTCAATGAGACCAAAGTCCTTCTTTAGATATCTGAATTCTCTTCCATTTTCTTATCTCCTAGATGGCAGATACAACACCAACAACTGGAAGAAACATCCCGCCGTATCTCAGCAAAGGGAAATACAAGTTGACGACGTTACAGCAGATTCTCCAGGAGAGAACCTCATTCACCCGGCACATCTAACATCCAGACGTTCTCCTGGTGGCTTGGGTCCTAAGACTCACCATACGGGTCATGGAGGGGGTGAAACCTTCCTGTGTTCTGAATGTGGTGAATGTTTTACCCTGGAAGAGGACCTCACCTCCCACCAGAGAGGTCATGAGAAGGAGAAGCCGTATTCCTGCTCCGAATGTGGGAGATGTTTTTCCCAAAAAGTGCAGCTCACTAGACACGAAAGAACTCACTCGGCTGAGCAGCCATTTGTATGTACAGAGTGTGGAAAATGTTTCACAGAGATATGGATACTGGCTAAACATCAGAGTATTCACACAAGCGAGATGGAGTATTCGTGTTCAGAGTGTGGGAAAAGTTTTGCCTTCAATTCATCTCTAACTAAGCACAAGAAAACTCACGCCAGGGAGAAGCCGTTCTCTTGTTCAGAATGTGGGAGGCGTTTTTCCAACAGGGAAAGTTTCATCGGGCACCAGCTGGCTCACGCCGGGAAGAAGCTGTTTTCATGTGCGGAATGCGGAAAATGTTTCTCCCAGAAATCGAACCTCACCACTCACGAAAAAGTTCACACGGGAGTAAAGCCGTATTCGTGTTCAGAGTGCGGAAAGTGTTTCTCTCAGAAGGCGACTCTTACCACGCACGAGAAAGTTCACACGGGTGAAAAGCCCTACTCGTGTGCCGAGTGCGGTAAATGTTTTTCCCAGAAATCGACGCTCACGACTCACGAGAAGGTTCACACGGGAGTGAAGCCGTATTCATGTTTGGAGTGCGGGAAAAGTTTTTCCCAGAAGTCGACTCTCACCACTCACGAGAAGGTTCACACGGGGGAGAAGCCGTATTCGTGTTCAGAATGCGGGAGATGTTTTTCCAACAGACGCAATCTTATCGGCCATCAGACAATTCATACGGGGGAGAAGCCGTATTCCTGTCTTGAATGTGGCCGATGTTTTTCCAACAGGCGTAATCTAATCGCACACCGGATAACCCACACGGGGGAGAAGCCGTATTCGTGTTCAGAGTGCGGGAGATGTTTTTCCCATAAGTCGGCTCTTACCAGCCACGAAAAGATTCACACCGGGGCGAAGCCGTATTCATGTTCCGAGTGCGGGAAATGTTTCTCGTTTAACTCTTCTCTTTTTAAGCATAAGAAAACTCACAGCGGAGAGAAGGCGGTTTTATGATCTTGTGTGAAAAATTGGACATGAAAAAAAGTTCACATGGGGGAGATGTCACATGTCACATCTCAGTTCCTATGGGGGACAAGGGTGCTAGAAGGCAGACGCTGAGTTTGGGTAGTGTCCTGTATTCATAAAGTAAAATATGGGTCTGAAAGTGCAACTCAAACCTAAAACTTTTGAGGGACAGTCCATGAGGCGGAGCGGAGTCAGCTGAGCGCCAACCTCTGGGGGAACGGGGTTCAGATAGGTAATAGTCCTCTTCACCATACCCCTAGACATCAACAAGCAGTTAACCCTTCTAGTGTGGGTGTGGCCCCACTGCAAGGGTCATTTTCTTTATACTTGGAGATGGGCCGAGGGAAATCTGGATGTGAAGTACGGCAGTAGAGGGACATGGGGCCTACACTGGTTTCTGCCTCACCCTCTAGGTAGATTCACTCTCTATTTGTCCTGGTGGGCTGTGTCCCTGGGAGAGGAAGTGACGGGATAGTTATCAGTAGAACAGGAAGTGAGGGTAAATCTTCCAATAGGAGGACTTGTTCCGTTCATAACTCTCTAAGCGGATAGTTCCTCTCACTTCCTGTTGCATCCCCAAGACAAGGAAGTAAAGGGAACATAACGGGACGGGCTCTAACCCTTCTGTACAGTTGTGGTGAGCCCATACGGGCATAGCACAGGGTTACCTCAATGGTAACTGACCTGCTGTCTACACTATATTGTCAAAGGTATTGGGACACCCCTCTGGAGCCAACCCAATACTGAACGCTACGGACTAAGACTGGGATGCCATTAAAGTGCATGTGCGTGTAAAGGCCGGCGTCCCAATACTTTTGGCAATATAGTGTATTTTCCTGTAAGACTTGATATTTTTCTCCCCAAACTCTAGATCGAGGCTTTACAGTTCGTCGTCTCCTCACGTTTTGTCATTTGAATAGGAAAAAAACAACAACTTTCAATAAAACGGGAATACAAATCTTTGTCCGGTTCTGTGTGTTTCAGTCGCTGATTGCTCTATGTCTATCTTCGGCCATTCAAATAACATTCTATCCTAGATACAGCCGGGGGTGTTATATATAAATGGTGATGTTTGGGGGTATTAGCACATGTGGTGAGTCCACTCGGAATATCTTCTTTTAAAGGGCCTGGTAGGCCAGTTTTATTTACTTCTATTATAAGTTTGAGTTCCGGGAAGTGACAGGTCAGCTTTAAAGTTTGAGGAAGACGATTGAGGGACACACATGAAGGAAAACAAAATCCAATAAGTGTCCTAGACTTACACTGGACTTTATTATATGATTATAGCTCAGCCTGGGTGTATGGAGACCTCCCCTCAGCCAGAGCAGCCGCCTGTCTGCTCCCTATCATCACTATACTCACTCTTACTTCCGCCCTGTGGCTCCCGCACTTCTTGCTTGCTTCCTGGTTGCCATTTTAGAGTGTAAAACCACCACTAGAAGGCGATCGTCTTTAACGTGTAAAGGAGGAAGTGCTCACGGTTCAGGGGCGGCCATTTTGCTGTAGACCAAGATAAGAGGAAGGATTTTTCACTCTAAAACGTCCTGGTCGGAATGTGAGGCTGAAGAGTGTGTGCCCGGTGAGGAAGAGGTAATAATAATAATATCTTATTATGATAGAAGGGAATCTCAGTGAGATGGAGGATCACCTCAATAAATCATCATCTTCCTGCAAATCCTCTGATATGTAGATGGGGGGCTCTGCTGAGAATGATGGCGCTGGTGGCGTATTCCAAGCTAGGGTTGCCACCTTTTCTTCAAGCGAAACCCGAACACTCTAGCGACGCGCTGACATTTGTGGGGGGAGAATGAGTTGTAGCTCATTCACATGTAAATAGCTCCACCCATTCATATTTAAATATCACAGTTGAGACTATTTTCATTGGGGGGCCAGTAGCCCCTGTCCTAATTTTGGTTGCCCCTGTCTGTCTAAAATCTTGCGTCCGGGTTTCTGCTGCCATGAAACCCGGACACAGCATTCAAAACCTGGACTGTCCGGTTGAATCCTGTACAGGGGGCAACCCTAGTATAGCGATATTGGAAATACGCCTGTTAGTGGGGAATACAATCGCTTGCGGCTCCTGCAGGGAGTAGAATGCGGTCTGTCTCTGTGAGGTTCATATATAACCCACCCAAAAAAGTGGCAAAATCCCAGAACAATTCTAAAACACTCTTAATGTCAGCCATCACCATCCGCCATGTTTGGGTGCAGCATGATTAGGCTAAGGATGGAGATGGAGGAAGGTGGATGGTGACAACAACTTCATACAGCGTCGATCATCTCCATTTATTGTATTAAAATTACCTTAAACCATAACCGTACTTTCAAAGATGGTCCTAGGTGACATTTGTTTGGGAGTGTCAGGACTCAGTAAGAGAACACCCAATCAATATGCATATTCTTCTCGGAGACAGAATGGAGCCCAAACTATTTTTAAGCCACCCTTAAAAAAAATAGGTGGTTATTATATCAAAGAGACTTGAGTTGCCACCCACTCACTATCGTGAGATTGCTGTGATTATGTTTTGTGGAACAGTCATAGGTTCCTAATGATAGTTAATGAGGGTAACTAGGACAAAGAGGGATAGGCCAGAGACATCGGGGAGGGAATCAGGGGAAGGCAGGCCATCGGGGAAGGAGAGGGCACTTCAGAAGAAGGACAGCTGGAAAGAAGGACAGCTGGAGAAGGCCTTCAGAAGGACAGCTGGAAGGGTTAGCTGGAGAAGGCCATTAGAAGGTCAGCTGGAGAAGGCCATCAGAAGAAGGACAGCTGGAAGGGTTAGCTGGAGAAGGCCATTAGAAGAAGGTCAGCTGGAGAAGGCCATCAGAAGAAGGATAGCTGGAGAAGGCCATTAGAAGAAGGTCAGCTGAGGAAGGCCATCAGAAGGACAGCTGGACGGGTCAGCTGGAGAAGGCCATTAGAATAAGGTCAGCTGGAGAAGGCCATTAGAATAAGGTCAGCTGGAGAAGGCCATTAGAATAAGGTCAGCTAGAGATGACAATCAGAAGAAGGACAGCTGGAAGGGTTAGTTGGAGAAGGCCAATAGAATTAGAAGAAGGTCAGCTGGAGAAGGCCATCAGAAGAAGAACAGCTGGAAGGGTCAGCTGGAGAAGGCCATTAGAAGAATGTCACCTGGAGAAGACCATCAGTGAGGAGGACAGCTGGATGGGGTCAATTGGAGAAGGCCATCGGAGGAACCCAGGGTCCAGAACCTGTGCAACCCCCTTGGACTGGTAATATACATACATCCAATAGGCTAGTTATCATCTAACCAGTTTAGGAGTTATTATTTGGTGTATTGGTATTGCTTCTTCTATGATTTAGGGGTTGTTGAGTATTGTTGGTTTAGCATTGCTGTGTTGGTGTTGCTCTGGTTGTATAGTTGGGTTACTCTTGGATTTATTGATAACCACGGATAGTTTTTTGTCATCAGCGTAATGTTCTTGTATCTATCATCAAGCTGTGCATGTTTAACTCTTTATACAATATATGGAATGTGGGGTGTGTTTCTAAGCTGACCTTTCCCTCTCAAACAGGAAGAGTGTGGTGGGGTTCTTAAACAATACATATATTATTTATTAATATTCATATTGTTTGTTTTAATCACCCCCATTTTCTTGCACATTTATGGAGGCCTTAGAGGAACTCTGAAGATTGTTGAGTACATCATGTCTCTGAATCTGTCAGAATTGCTGTACACTACATTGAATATTGAGAATATTCTTTACAAGGGGTATCTGGGGTTGTATTCAGTAATTGCAGTGATATATTGTAAACCAGATTGATTTCATATTCAGGCTGAAACATACAGAGGAGTGGGGTACCTAGAAGGACACCGGGATCTCTACAAGGACGTCATGATGGAGAACCGGCCGCCCCTCACATCACCGGGTAAGAGGAGACTTTCATTTCTTGAGTATTGAGGATCCACCTAGATACACACATCCTCTGATATAAAGACATAGAAACAATGTATTCAGTCAGTGTGTGTGTTTCCTACAGATGGATCCAGGAACAGAAATACCCCAGAGAGATGTCCCCATCCTCTGTATTCCCGGGATTCCACACAGGAACATCAGGAGATCCCTCACACCCGTCCTCTGTATTCCCGGGATTCCACACAGAAAGATCAGGAAATCCCTCAGACCCGTCCTCTGTATTCAATTGATGGCTTGATTGTTGTTAAAGTTGAAGATGAAGAAGAGATGCTTCTCCTGCCTAAGGATGAGGAAACCCCACCAGAAATCAGCACAGGTGAGTAATAAACACTAAATCCAGAGAAGAGTCCCAGATTCTCCTTGTTCAGTCACTACAAAAATCTCTTCTTCTCCCCCCTCCTCTGTCAGTAGACAGTAATGGGGGAACGGAATGTGTTTAGTGGGGGGAGTCAGGAGCCATTAGCCTCTATTAGACTCCGACTCTCCTCCTCACATCATGTCATTGTGTGTTACGAGCCAAGAGACGTGACCAGTCTCCCCCCACACACACTCTCTGGGGTCTCTCATACATCTCAGTACAGGGGGCTTCACTCTCATCTTTATTCACAGACATCAGAGACACTCAGAAAGACGTCAAAGCTGAGGAGGAGGAAGAAGTAAGACAAATCAAGACAGAAGATGAGGGAAATCCTTTGGAGACTGACATGGGTAAGTTATAAACACTAAATACAGAAAAAGGTCTCAGATTCTCATTTTTGAGCCACTATTGAAAGAGGAGGAATAAGAAAGCTAAATATGAATGATCCTTCATAATTTTCCTAATTTAAATGAGTGTTCATTAGCTAAGTATGTTTTCCTACAGATGGACCAAGTTATAGAAATACCCCAGAGAGATGTCCCCGTCCTCTGTATTCCTGGGATTCCACACAGGAACATCAGGAGATCCCTCAGACTCGTCCTCTGTATTCCGAGGATTCCACACAGGAACATCAGGAGATCCCTCAGGCCCGTCCTCTGTATTCCCGGGATTCCACACAGGAACATCAGGAGATCACTCAGGCCCGTCTTCTGTATTCCCGGGATTCCACACAGGAACATCAGGAGATCCCTCAGCCCCGTCTTCTGTATTCCCGGGATTCCACACAGGAACATCAGGAGATCCCTCAGCCCCGTCTTCTGTATTCCCGGGATTCCACAAAGGAACATCAGGAGATGCCTCATCATGATCCGGTAAGATGGAATGTAGTTAGCACCATTGTAGCCTTGTGTTGAAGCCAGTCTGAGAAACTGGACAATATATTTTTCTGGATATGTAGGAAGATGAAAAGGGCCATGTGACGGGTGATGAGCCATCACATGACAGCCAGCTATTTTTTTATGATGTGTGCCATACTTCTAAAGAGGACGGGAACTCAAAAGCGTTAAGATTTTCTATCGTATACAGACCAATAGAAATGTTTATTTCTGAAAGATTCACTCTTTGCCTTGAATTCCTCCCAAAAACTAGCAGAACACTTCTTGTACCTTGGTACTCCTGTATCCTCATAGCTGTATATCTGCAGTGTGAGATCATCTAAGGCTCTGCTGCCTGTTGACCACTAGTCTCACCAGATTTCACTGATGTCACTAATGTGTTCCTTATCGTTCTCCTTGCCGAAGAGGAAGCTGCACCTGAGGGCCTGCAGTGCAAGGATCTCCCCGCTTCTGCTATTATTCATTCTGTGGACCTGTGCTTCCTTCACCTCTCCTGTTGCTTTTTGAATATTCCACCATCAGTCACCAGAAGGCAGCTCATACACGAGGAAGCAAAACCTGGTTCCCTATAGCAAGATGGCTGCTTCTGCACAGACACAGTGTAGGACATAGTAAGTCAGTAATGGGTAACATATCAGCTGCATGGAGACCACAGGTGATACTGGTAAGTAGTCCTTTGCCCTTTTCTTGCCTTTTTTTTGGGTGCAGCTTCCTCAATCCAGGTTCTCCTTGCGGTGTCAATACAAGTTGTTGAAATATTTACCCTTTGCCGTGATTTCCTCCTAAAAACTAGCTGTCAGAAAGCCAGATCCAGAGTTCGAGTGTCGCCGTCTGCGCATGTGCCCGTTGCGGACCATAGAGCCGTAATAGGAGCGGCGTCTCTACGTAGACGTGCTTGCGTTTGTGCGCACGCCGACGTGTCATTTGAACATTTGGCGCCAACTGGGCTATAAAGGCTGTGATCAGCTATCCTATGCTGTCAGATTGTCAGCTTTCCTGTATTCTCTGTATCCTGATTACCCGTTACTGACCCGGCTTGGACTACTCTCTGTTGTTGCTTGCTCCCTAAAGACCCCGGCTTGTTTGTGACCTTGATTCTGCCTCACCCCTTGTACTGTGTTGCTAGCTCATTGATGACTTCGGCCTGCCTTGACGATCCTTCTGCCTCAGTGTGTTCTGCTTCCTCAGCTCATCTGATCTAGAGTCTTCTTGATCCACTCTACTGTGCATCTGTATCCTGCTTCCTGCCCGGATCTACGCACTTCATCTCGTCTCACAGACGCAACGGACTCACCATCCTTTGGCACCCTTGCCCCTCTGTGCCCCTGTACCCAATCCGGGTGCTCCGGGACCGGAGCTGTGTGAGAGGCCGCCCTCGTCAACTCAGACTCCTCAAAGGTACGTGACACTAGCAGAGCACTTCCTGGGCCTGGCCACTCCCGATCTGTATCCTCATAGCTGTATATCTGCAGTCTGAGATCATCGAACGTAGGGTATACACGGTTAGAATTTTTGCACGTAATACTGCCCGAAACCAGGGACGTCCCGAGGCTGGGTGACGCCCGGAGCGGTAACCGAGTGTCACCCTACCGAGACGTCATCGCGCACGCGCGGCAGTCTTCTGAAACCTGCCGGCTGCCATCTTGGTGATGGACGCCGGCAGAGAGAGGAGGGGACAGTCACCCGGCGGGATAAGGTATTCCGCCGGGTCCCCTCCTCTCTCCTGATCCATGACCGAGCGCCCGACTTTTCAGAGGGGGGTGACACCAAAATGACTGTCAGGCATGTTGGTGTCACCCCTGCAATGGGTGTGGGCCGCACCCCCCTTGTGACGCCACTACCCGAAACCTACAAACTGCAAGTATTAGCCCAGCTATGCTCCACTGCTCTCCCTGAGGCACTGGGCCTCACCACCATGTGTGTAGTAGATTGGGGCAACTAGAGAACGAATCCTAGACCGGTTATTGTCCGTTATTTAAACTATGCGGACGAATTCCTCATCATGCAAACATATCGTCCCTCTCGCTCACTTGAGGTTGACGGACACAAGCTCTTGGTCTTCGCGGATTACTCAGCGGAAGTCGCAAGGAAGCGAAAGGCTTTTACCAAGGACCTATAGCGATGGGGCACTTCAACGACAGAAAGGAACCCGGATGGTTACCGAAATGTGGACGTCGGAGAAAGCGCAGTAGCGGTGTTTCTCCGCACATACAGAAAAAGGAGACGTCAACGTGACCGTTCGTTCCCAGGTGCACAAACGACTTCCGGGTCACTTTGTTTTGGCACAGGCGCGTTACCAGATCAGCAATTTTTTTTTTCCCTCGCCAACGCAGGAAAGAAGAATTTTATACGTTCGATTTATCATTTTCCAATTTTCGTGAACATTCTCATTTTCGTCTGGCGGTTGCTCCGTACTCATTGACCGATATCCAAACGAACGTTCCGAAAACGACCTCGCTCGTACTAAATTCTAACCCTGTGTACCCTGCTTAAGGCTCTGCTGCCACTAGTGTCACCAGATTTGGTGATGTCACTACTGTGCGGCTCATTGTTCTCCTTGCCGGAGAGGAAGCTGTACCTGAGGCCCTGCAGTGCAAGGATCTCCCTGCTTCTGCTTCATTCATTCTGTAGTTCTGTCTCCTGCTGCTTGAATATTCCACCGCCGGTTATAAGGCGGCAGCTCTGGCATGAGGAAGCAAAACCCTACTCCAACAAGATGGCTGCTTTCGTAGAACAAGGTAGGTCCAGAATGGAAATCATATCTGCTGCGTGGAGACCACGGGTGATGCTGGAGATGTGGTTTGCCTTTTGTGGGTGCAGCTCCTACGGTTCAGGTCCTCTTTAGGTGTCCTTACAGGTTGTTCACCAAACAGGAACATATCATTATTCCAGTGGCTGACTGTTAAAACATATAACGAGACTGGAGGTCTTCTGAACATTCATCTCCCCCTTTCCTTTCTTATTTCCTGCAGATGGACAACACAGGAGGCGTAATTGGGGGAGACAACCTACGACCTCTTCATACGGTGACATCAGCCATCTGCATTCCGATCCCTCTACCTATGAAGGTAGTACTCCTGATGCCTCTACCCGTGTCACCCAATATACAGATCATACAGGGGTGACACATTCCTCCCCGGTGAATGTTTGACCCAGGAGGAGAACCTCGCCTCCCACCAGAGAGGTCAAGGAGGGCAGAAGCCATATGGGTGTTCCGAATGCGGGAGATGGTTCTCTCAGAAAGAGCAGCTCCATAAACACAGGAGGACTCACTCGGACGAGAATCCATTTTCCTGTTCGGAATGTGGGAAAAGCTTTATCGACAAATCCAAACTTTTGGTACACCATAGAACACACTCGGGAGAGAAGCCGTTTTACTGTGCGGAATGCGGGAAATGTTTTTCCAAGGGAGGAAACCTCATCTCTCATCAAAAGACTCACACGGGGGAGAAGCCCTTTTCTTGTTCAGAATGCGGCAGAGGCTTTACCGAAAGATCTTTGCTCGCAATGCACCAGAGAACTCACTCGGGGGAGAAGCCATTTTCCTGTACGGAATGCGGCGACCGTTTTTCCCGGAAATCTGCTCTAGCCAACCATCTGAAAGTTCACACGGGGGAGAAGTCCTATTCGTGTTCCGAATGCCGGAGATGTTTTTCTCAGAGGTCCATACTTCTCTTACACGAGAGGACTCACACCGGGGTGAAGCCGTATTCATGTCCCGAATGCGGGAAACGGTTCTCTCTTAGATTCAGCCTCCTCTCTCACCAGATGACCCACACGGGGGAGAAGCCTTATTCCTGTCCGGAATGTGGGAAACGTTTCGTGGAGAAATCGAACCTCGCTAGGCATCAGAAAACCCACTCAGGGGAGAAGCCCTTTTCCTGTCCTGAGTGCTCCAAGAGTTTTTCCAGGAAGTCATCCCTGGTTAGACATGAACAGGTTCACACGGGGGAGAAGATGTGTATTTGTGTTCTGAGTGCGGAAGGTGTTTTACCGAAAGATCAAATCTTGTGAGGCACCAGACGACTCATAAGGGGAGGAAGTAGTAATCGTGTTCTGCATGTAGGAGATTGTTTTCCCAGAAATCGTCTCTTATCAGACAGGAAAAGGCTCACATGAGATAACATGGAGCAAAATCACATGTCTGACACAACCACACAGCTGCCCTTTTATTTTACACACATATCTTCCACGTCATTTGCTGGCTGGGAATAGGAACTAAATTCCTCGAAGGAAGATCATATAAGGGGCGACTTTGCAAAGCGAACAGCTTTTGCCATTTGCAAAGCGAACAGCTATGTGAATGAGATTCACATCAAATCATGGCCACTAGAGGGAGCCGAAGAGCAAATGAAATTCTTTCTATGCTCCTTGGCTCTACCTAGTGGCCATAATGTGCTGTGCCTCCCAACTGCATAGCTGTTCACTGTGCAAATGGTTTATAAGCATCTGATACAGTCTAACAATAGCATTAACACCATTTTTTTTTACAAGACCCCTTGTAATATAATAGAATTACCTGTTGATGATCTGTATTAAACCCATGTGCTTAAAGGAAATGTGCAGTCGTTTTGTATATATGTTCTATGTTGTTTATGCACCAATGAGCCATATCATTATGACCACCTGCCTAATACTGAGCAGGTCCCCTTTTTCCAGACCCATCGAGGCGTGGACTCCACTAGACCTCTGAAGGTATGCTGTCAGTAGTAGCGATGGGCCGAACACACCTGAGTTGGTGTACTGCCCTGGGGGACAGGAATCAATGAAAAAAACATTTTTAAAAAATACTGTTTTTATAGCAGCAGTGATTTTTACATGACTTAAAGGGTAACAAAAAAAATGAATAATTCCTGTAAATATCGTGCCTGGGGGGTCCCCTTAGACTGTCTGTAAAGTGGCGGATTTGTACGATGTATAGAACCTGCTGCAGCAAAAAGTGAAATTTCTGGAAAAAAAAAAAGTGTGGGGTTCGCCCCAAAAGTCATACCAGGCCCTTAAGGTCTGATAGGAATTTGAAGGAGGAACCCAACCCCAAAAAATTGAGGGCGGGGGAAGACATGCGATCCCCCTTAAAATCCCCAACCAGGCCTCGCAGGGCAGGAAAGGTGGGTGGGGGTGGGGGTGGGGGGGATCGAACCATACCAGGTCACATGCCCTCGGCACTGAGAGGGTCGCCCCTGGAAAATCACCTTGTCCTTATGCCGATGGGGACAAGGGCCTCTTCCCCACAAGCCCTGGGGCGTTGGTTGTGGGGGGTCTGCGGGCAGGGGGCTTTTTCTGCCCTGACTCTACCCGCAACATCCACATTATTCATTCACCGGACTACGATTCCCGTCTGCCACTTCGGCGGAGGGACTTAATAGGTCTCAATGAGGCACAAGTGCCGTGATGTCACCACAACTTCTAGTCCATTGATGACTTCCTCAAGCTCCATAGCTGAAGGTAATATCAGCGGGAATAGCGGCTTCTGCAGGGGCCGGCATAGCTAGGCACGGGAGGGGGTACCGGCTGGCGCTTACGCGGCTACTGAGGTCCGGGTTATGCTTTGCTTTTTTCCCACAAGGTGTGATTGTATAAAAACGCATCTCGCGTTCCTCCCCCACCTCTCGGTCCTATGGCAATGACAGGTCAGCTTTAACCAGTGTCGCCATTGTACATGAGGAAAAAGATTTCTGTAAGAAGGATGACTGGTAACTAACCACTTCCGTCTCCATAGTCCCCATACAGGACAGGCTTGGAGTATATCAGAGGGGGAGATGGGAGGAGTTTTGGGGGTTGCCAGTAGCAACCAAACAGTTCCACTCCTCTCCCCATCAGCAACAGAATGGCAGCTGCAATATGATTGGCTGCCCTATAAAGTAGTATAACAGGCATTCTAAGTACCTTATCATAATTATACTGAGCTCATTACATGCCTATTACATTAATAACATTAGAATTCTGATATCTCTGGCTGGAGATATAAAAACTGTTTTGGCTCTACCACTAACTTTTCTTCCGCTCTGTGGCTCTCACACTTCCGCTGTTTGCGTTCCACGGCCGCCTAGCCGCTTCCTGGTTGCCATAGCGACATTTTTATGCTTCAAGAAGCCACACACTGACAGAGTTGTTCATTCGAGTGTGGAGCCACCACTAGAGGGCAAGCGTCTGCTGTAAGAGAGGAGTAAGTGTCCTCGGTGAAAGGGGCGGCGGCCATTTTGTTGTAGCCCAGAAAACACATAGAGGGGTATTTATAGCGCAAAAGACATGTCCTTGTGGGGCTGTATCCAATAAGGAGGAGGTAATATTGTACTTATTATGATAGAAGTGGGTCTCAGCACTCTCTGAGGACTGGATGTGGGGATCTTGTCACCTCAACACATCATCACATTCCTACAAGTCCTCTGATATGTAGAATATTAGATGGTGAGCTCCGCTAGGGTCGGGGCAAAGGACGCGGGGAAGGCATATTAACTGCAACCCACATCTTATAGAACTACTCCTATCAATGGGGAATAGAATTGTGTACTAGAAAGGTGGCATAGCGGTAAACAACTTCCGTAGCTTTTTGGCCATCCATAGACGTGAGATGACAGTGACCACATGAAGTGATCATTTCTCAGGGACCCCTGACTGTCACATGGCTAATCTCAGGAGGACTGCTGTTTGGTCGAGTTAGACAAAATGTCTAAGAAAATTAGTTGTAAGCAGCTATGGTGATCACCTATTCACAAAAAAAGAAAGCTCCCTCAGCCTGAGCGTCCATGGTGCTGAGACAAGTTCCTCCTCCCTTGGAGGCCTGGGGGAACCTTTGTGACCGCTGTCTGTGATTTTATTGTAGTGAAACTCTGTTTAATATGGAGGAGTGGGAGTATCTAGAAGGACACAAGGATCTCTACAAGGACGTCATGATGGAGAACCGGCCGCCCCTCACATCACCGGGTAAGAGGAGACTTTCATTTCGTGATTATTGAGGATCCCCCTAGATACACACATCCTCTGATATAAAGACATAAAAACATTGTATTCAGTCAGTGTGTGTGTTTCCTACAGATGGATCCAGGAACAGGAATACACCAGAGAGATGTCCAAGTCCTCTTTATTCCCGGGATTCCACACAGGAACATCAGGAGATCCCTCAGGCCCATCCTCTGTATTCCCGGGATTCCACACAGGAACATCAGGAGATCCCTCAGACCCGTCCTCTGTATTCCCGGGATTCCACACAGGAACATCAGGAGATCCTTCAGGAAGATCAGGAGATCCCTCAGGATGATGAGGTTGGTGGAACTGAGTTTATAAATCATTTAGCACATCTGAGACCAAATACACGCCACAATTTCTATGGGGATATCATGGATTTGAGTAATTATCTATATTAATTGTTTATATTTCAGATTGGAGATCTGATTAAAGTTGAAATAAAAGAGGAACCAGAAGGGACGTACACAACGGATGATGAGTCGTGTAAGGCCCCGTTCACATTGAGCGATTTATCGCGCGATTTTTGTAGCGATATCGCTCATATTTCCGCACTATATCGCTCTATGTAGTTTCACCAATACATTTCAATGTAGTTGTTCACATCTCGTCGCTCAATGTCGCTCAATATCGCTTGTAGCTCGTCGCTGGTAGCTTGTCGCTTCTACATGACCCTTTTTTAGAGCGATTTTGAGCGATATTGCTCCTGATTGCATACAGCCCAATAGGAAGAAGTCGCGCGATACGTCGCTCAATGTCGCTCGTCGCTCAATGTCGCTCAAAGTCGCGCGATTTCCATGTCGCTCAGTGTGAATGGGGTCTAAGGAGGAGGAACGTTCTCCAGAGATCAGCACAGGTGAGTAATAAACACTAAACCCAGAGAAGAGTCCCAGATTCTCCTTGTTCAGTCACTACAACAATCTCTTCTTCTCCCCCCTCCTCTGTCAGTAGACAGTAATGGGGGGACGGAATGTGTCTAGTGGGGGGAGTCAGGAGCCATCAGCCTCTATTAGACTCCGGCTCTCCTCCTCACATCATGTCATTGTGTGTTACCAGCCAAGAGACGTGACCAGTCTCCCCCCACACACACTCTCTGGGGTCTCTCATACATCTCAGTACAGGGGGCTTCACTCTCATCTTTATTCACAGACACCGGAGACACTCAGAAAAACACCAAACCTGAGGAGGAGGAAGAAGGACATGTGAGGATCAAAGAGGAGGAAGTTCCTATAAAGATCATAATTGGTAAGTAATAAGCACTAAATACAAAACAAATTAAGTGTTCCTTAACTATGTGTGTGCTTCCTGTAGGTGGACCAAGTTATAGAAATACCCCACGGAGATGTCCCCGCCTTCTGTATTCCCGGGAATCTGCAGAGGAACATCACAAGAGCCCTCACCATTATCAGGTAGATGGAATGTACAGTAGTTGGCAGAGTTGTAACTCTTGTGTTCAATCCAAGAAACTGGAGAACATATTGTATTTGTTTTTCTGGATATATAGGAAGAAGAAGATCCATCTATGATGGATGATGAGTCGTGTAAGGAGGAGGAGCTTCCTCCAGAGATCAGCACAGGTGAGGAATAAACACTAAATTCAGAAATGATCCGTCCACTATCCTCTAGATCAATGGTTCTCAATCTGTGTAACCTCAGGACCCACATTTGTCTTTGGTCATTAGGTTGTGACGCAATAGAACGCATGGGATTAGGGTATTGTGCGTTCCGGTGTGGCATTAGAGTATCCCGAGTTCCGGTGCGGGTGTACTAACTGTGGGTGGGAGGTGCGTTTGGGGGACCATTCAAATAAACGGCAACACAACACACCTCCCGCACCAGAATCCACGGTAGGTGCGTGGTACAGTGCGTTACTCGCATGGTACTATGTGATCAATACACTGTACTAGTGTGAACGGGCCCTCAAAAACACTGAAATACACACACAACCACAGACACAATCTCACGGACATTTTTTTTCTTCAAGGTCCACCCAGTCTCCTTACCTTACGAGAACTGGAGTAGAGCCTCAGCCTGAGGTCCAGTGTGGGCTGCTGTGCTGTGATGGAGCTCCAACCATATGTCCATTGCTTGTACAACCCCCTTGCAGCCCTGTAGAGGTGCCGGGAGCCAGAATGTGACATCACTCCGGTCCAGGCACCTCTACAGGACACACGAGGGAGCACGTATGAATGGAGCTCCCTCATGGCCATAGCGCCATTCCATCCCACCTCAAGCTGACACTCAGCATATTTTGAATGGCTGCTTGGCGCAAGAACTGACGGTGCTCCGCTAGGTGGAGGCAGAGGAGCCTCTCATCTAGAAAAGTGGAAGGCATGAGGCGACCCATTGAACACGGGGTCACGACCCACTGTCAGAATGTTTATACTGCTCTGATATACAGTACTGTTTATGGAAACAAATGAAAATCTATGGTTAAGGAGATTCCCAATGTATTTCCATAAATCAAAATTTACGCAAGTTCTTTCATTTGCGCTGACTTCGAAGACAAGAGGAATACCAAAAGTATACAAAATATAGATATTTATTTATCAAAAATCAGTGCAAAATAATAATGAAATATAATTGGTGACAAACAAAGAATATGGATCAAATAATATCAATCAATTTGATAACACAAGTAATGCATAAAATGTAACCACTGGATATTAATTCAACAGATAAATGTAACCAAGATAAAACAACTTTTTAAATGTAACGGGTATCTTCTCGGTATCTCACAGAATAAGAAAACTAAAGGTTCAGAATTGACATGTGACTTCTCTCAGCACAGATATTCACCAACTCTAACTTTCACAGCGCATGGGCGATATTTATCCCATCATGCACAGGACTGGCAATAATCCCAGACCAGTCAAAGTAGAGAAAAATTACCACCATTTTTAATTCAATATATATCAGACTAAACCATTGACTAGAAACTGAAATCAGTTTCCTGGAGATTATACAATTGTGTATAACAAATGTATATAATTATCTCCCCAAATTGACAGACACAATTTTCTACTGCAGTTAAAAATTATCTCAAATCAATTTAGATTCTACAAGAACTTAATGGTTTACCCGAATATATATATATGTGGCTGATGAATTGCCTAATATACAGATATAAAGTATACTTTACCAGCAATATAAATTTAGTTGTTTTGGAAGAAGTCAGCAGTCAATGCTCGGCAACCAGGGATAGTCAGGTTCTCTTTAATTCAGTTTCCTGGGACAGCCGTCCTCAGCTTCTGACCTATACCCTTGGAATGTATATGCTTACTGCCTTGATGTTCGATTCTCTCTCTTGATGGAATTTGAATCTCCCCCTTCACTTGTGCTCCTGATCTATATCCCCCCCTGCGGAGTGGGCTTGGTTTGATCTATCACGTGTTTATGACGTGAAGCATGACGTCAGATGCCATATATGGTCATGGTCTATTCCCCACAATCACCATCAGGGGGCACTATTGTTCTATGTAAAAATTGGGAACATTTCAGTTAATTTCACTAATTTCTACAGATAAGGCAGTGATATGACCTTTGACCGAAGACCCTAGACAAGACCCATAAATATAAACTTTTGGCAATACTTAATCCTACCATGCCAAACTATCGGTCTGGTCCTGCAATTTACGGCTTGGAAAAACAGTCTAACTTAAGCAATTAGCATTCTTTCTCAATTCCTTAAAAGTGAGGTAGAAGGGGGCGTGGCTTGCCAATGGCGACGTGAGGATTCCTCCTTGGAGACTTACTTCAGAGTGAATGCCACTAACCAAGCGGATCCTCTGTCTGTGTGTGAGGCCCACAAATGTGTCTTACGGTGTGTGCTGATTAAGCATGGAGCGAGAAAGAAGAGGGAGCGCTTATTTTACTCTTAATGTATAACAGTTGGCTGCCTGCGTGCAGACCTATACATGCAATATTTGTGTCAGTTTGCATTTTTTGATTAATAAAGCTGGATTTAAAAAAAAAAGTGAGGTAGAAGTTTTAAGACCGAGGTTTTTTCATACCTTGTAAGAAAAGAATATACATTAGAATGTACCACCTAATTCTTTGCACTTAAATATAAAAACCCCATTATCAGTAATACACACGAATATATTTCAATGGGTACACTCAACCAATATATAATGAATATATAAAAGTACATGTATAAAATTCTACTTAAAAATCAGTCAATTAAGTAGGCAGATAATATAATATTATTATCATAACATTGTTACTAATAATTATTATTACAATGAATAGTAAGGTTTCATAAGGAACTTTTAAATAAGCCCCTTTTGTCTATTCATTAAAGAAAGAGCAAAAAAAAAACAAAAAACTCTTTAGAAATTCTTATCTCTTGCAGGGAGGCAAAGAAAATAAACGACCAAGCCCTACACAGACTGGCACCATCTAAACTGATATGCGTCTGAGACCCCACAATTTACGATCTGAGACTATTTATGTTAAAATTCCGATCTCCTCTTGTGCAGGAGAATGAACTTATTTTCACCTCTTAGCACATAGACAAAATGGCTACTAATATGCCCATAGACACATTTGTAAAATGACATGTTTAGGCCTATGAAATCGATTCCTTTTGGCCCAATAGTTCTGACACCACCAGTTGAGAACCAAGGCTCTAGACCATCCTTGTATCTTCAAATTATCTTTAGAGCATGTGGGGTCCCAGAGACTTCTGTGAAATACTGACCACAGCTCCTGTGGTTGAGTTTTTGTCCACCTCCTGGTTGGCGACTTTAAGGCAAGACACTTCCTTGAAGTTTGTGCAGGGGCCTTGTGTTACCTGCTCTTGCTGGGGTGAGGTTTTTATAGGAAAGGTCTACTTTACAATTGAATTCTCCTGAAACTTTAAATAGTTCAACTATGTCAGACCAAGCTATGGTGCGGGAATTGTAACACTTGTTTGATTTTATAATGGATGCATGGTATTTCCATTGTAAGTATGCTTGAACGTTGACAAACCGGGTCCTTCAAAGACCGTGTCCAATGAGACCTCTATTTATGTTAAAATTCCGATCTCCTCTTGTGCAGGAGAATGAACTTATTTTCACCTCTTAGCACATAGACAAAATGGCTACTAATATGCCCATAGACACATTTGTAAAATGACATGTTTAGGCCTATGAAATCGATTCCTTTTGGCCCAATAGTTCTGACACCACCAGTTGAGAACCAAGGCTCTAGACCATCCTTGTATCTTCAAATTATCTTTAGAGCATGTGGGGTCCCAGAGACTTCTGTGAAATACTGACCACAGCTCCTGTGGTTGAGTTTTTGTCCACCTCCTGGTTGGCGACTTTAAGGCAAGACACTTCCTTGAAGTTTGTGCAGGGGCCTTGTGTTACCTGCTCTTGCTGGGGTGAGGTTTTTATAGGAAAGGTCTACTTTACAATTGAATTCTCCTGAAACTTTAAATAGTTCAACTATGTCAGACCAAGCTATGGTGCGGGAATTGTAACACTTGTTTGATTTTATAATGGATGCATGGTATTTCCATTGTAAGTATGCTTGAACGTTGACAAGCCGGGTCCTTCAAAGACCGTGTCCAATGAGACCAGAGTCCTTCAAAGACCGTGTCCAATGAGACCAGACTGTGTCCAATGAGAGCAGAGTCCTTCAAAGTCCGTGTCCAATGAGACCAGAATCCTTCAAAGACCGTGTCCAATGAGACCAGAGTCCTTCAAAGACCAGAGTCCTTCAAAGACCGTGTCCAATGAGACCAGAGTCCTTCAAAGACCGTGTCCAATGTCCTTCCTTTCTAATTCTCACTTTCCTCCATGTCTTATTTTCCCCAGATGGACGATACAGCAGGATTCAATGGCGGAAACATCCGACTGTGTCTCCAACTCATGGCATGGAAGACGAAGACATTCCAGCAGATGCCTCATTAGTAAATGGCACCAACTCAAAACCATGTCCTGCAATTCACAGCGAAGATCTATCATCTGATCCCTCTACACATGGGGGGAGGTTTCCTGGTTCCTCTAATACCGTCAACCATTATACAGGGGCTGAAACCTTCCCGTATTCTGAGCGGGTTGGACGTTTTACCCAGAGGGAGGAGCTCGCCTCGAACCAGAAAGGTTGCGGAGTGGAGAAGCGATATCCATGTTCCGAATGTGGGAAAAGTTTTGGCAAGAGATCAATTCTGTCCAAACATCTAGTGACACACTCGGGGGAGAAGCCGTTTTCCTGCCTGGAATGCGGGAAATGTTACACCCAAAGATCCACGCTTGCTATACATCTGAGGAACCACTCGGGAGAGAGGCCGTACTCGTGTTCTGAATGTGGTGACCGGTTTTCCCAAAAAGCATGTCTTGTCTCGCATCTAAAGGTTCACACGGGGGAGAAGCCATATTCGTGTCCAGAATGTGGGAAGAGTTTCTCTCGGAAGTCCTCTCTCATCCGGCATATCAAGTTTCACAAGGGGGATAAGCCGCATTCCTGTCCAGAATGTGGGAAATGTTTTTCCCAACGAGCCAAACTTAGTTTACACCAGATAACCCACACGGGGGTGAAGCCATATTCGTGTTCGGAATGCGGGAAACAGTTTTCCACCAGGGTACGTCTTAGCTCACACCAGATGACCCACACGGGCGAAAAGCCTTATTCCTGTCCTGAGTGCGGGAAGTGCTTTGCAGAGAGATCGAACCTCATCTCGCATCAGAGAATCCACTCGGGGGAAAAGCCGTTTTCCTGTTCAGAGTGCGGCGACAGTTTTGCCCGAAAATCATCTCTCGTCAGGCACATAAAAGTTCACACGGGGGAGAAGCCGTATTCGTGTATGGAATGTGGAAGGTGTTTTGCTCAGAGGGCCAAACTTCTTTTACATCAGAGGACTCACACCGGGGAGAGGCCGTTTTCATGTTCCGAGTGTGGAAGATGTTTTACTGGAAAAGCATATCTTGTGAGGCACCAGACAAGTCATAAGGAGAAGCCAAAGTCCCAGGAACTGTCTCTTGGTGGACACGAAAAACTTGTCACCGGATAACGAGGTTTGAAAAGAAAAGTTCAACACAACCTTCCAGTTCCCCCTTTAATTTTTGCACTTTGTAATCTTCTATTTCACCGAACTCTGTGTATTCCATTCCTGGGAATCATCATTAAATATCTTAAAGAGGGAGAATTGTTCAGTGATGTCTGACTTTAGAGTTTGTTAGATCATTATTCAATATCCAGAAAGGTTATGATGCAACAGAGACACTGTGTCCTTGTCCATGAAGGCAAGGTGATGGCCCTCTGGAAAGTGCATTCCTCCCCGCCCCCGACATACATTTAGCTCTGCTGTGTGAGGCCTTGTCCCTTGTTCTGTCATCAGGGACCTCTACTGTGGTCACAGAAGGCTTTGTGGCTAGATTCACCCAATTCCTTGTGGCTACTGACCACAGAGGTACCAAGCCCTTGCCTGCAGAGTCCAGAAGAACAGACCGGCCATTGGTCGCAGTGACCATTTTTTACTCAGACCCAGAGTTCTCATATTCTATCTCCAATGAGGCTGTCTCTGAGACATCGCAGCTTCCTGCCATCATCATCTTGCATGTTCTTCCCTTTGTCCTGTGTTGGTCGTGACCCTAACCTGTCAAACCGTGGCAGTATGGGTTAGATAACTTAAAAAGGATCCCTCCATTACCAGACCCTCAGCATCCTTCCATTACCAGACCCTTGGGATCCCTCCATTAGCAGACCCTCGGGATCCCTCCATAACCAGACCCTCGGGATTCCTCCATTACCAGACCCTCGGGATCCCTCCATTACTCAGACCCTCGGGATCCCTCCATTACTCAGACCCTCGGGATCCCTCCATTACTCAGACCCTCGGGATCCCTCCATTACTCAGACCCTCAGCATCCCTCCATTACCAGACCCTCGGGATCCCTCCATTACCAGACCCTCGGGATCCCTCCATTACCAGACCCTCAGCATCCCTCCATTACCATACTCCCCTCTCCGGTGTCCCGTGTCTCCTACCTCCCCTCTGTTCTTGGAGAGGGGCAGGTTTAGGGTTGCCACATCTATGGGATTCACCCAGTCTGGGTTTTTGGTCCTGTAGGTGTTGTGTCTGAGTTTCAGGCCAGCTAAAACCCTGACACCAGATGATAGGCAGACAGGAGCAACCATGGGGTTTTGGTATTCTAACTTGAGTGCATGGAGGAGGCACGGGACAATGGGTTGCTGTCTCTCCTCGCTCTCTCTCCAGGATGTCTCTCATATACACACACACACACACTCTCCTCTCACACACTCTATCCGAGATGTTTCTTCTCTCCTTGCTCTCTCTCACACACTCTTTCTCTCTCCTGGATGTCTCTCTCTCTCACACACACGCACTCCTCTCTCACACACTCTCTATCCTAGATCTCTCTCCTTCCTCTCTCTCACACACACTCTCTCCTCTCACACACTCTCTCTCCTGGATGTCTCTCCTCTCTCACACACACACACACTCTCTCTCCTGGATGTTTCTTCTCTCCTCACTCTCCCCCCTTCTTTCCTGTATGTCTCTCCAGCTCTCTCTCGCTCCTGGATGTCTCTCTAGCTCTCTCTCCTGGATCTCTCTCTCTCCAGGCTTTCTGCAGGTGCTAGAACAACTAATGGCTGTTAAAAAATACATTTTATTTTACTCGTACTAAAACAATTGCATTCTAAACAACAACAATCCAGCTCCCTGAACGTGGTAGGATACAACACAGGCAGTTGTCACAAGGTACACCAGCCTTTGTTTCATTTGCCTCATACAAAGTCCATCATTCTGCATGCAGGTGAAAATCACTGCAGATAATGCCAGAAGGTGTCTTTAGCCTCAACGCGTTTCGCCCCTAAGGGCTTCTTCAGGAGAAAGACGTTCTGTTTACACAAATATACATTTTACAAAAAGGAAAAAAATCAATAGGTATCAATATCCAGAGTACGACAAAAGTAAAAACCACACATGCGTTATGTCAGAATCATATGTTTAAACTGCAGATGCCAGATGTCAAGTACAGGAGGTGAGGGGATCACGGAGGGGAGGGGGGGAACATCCCGGGGTATCTGCCGCCCAGAATATCATAGAAGGTGGATAGGAAATCATCTCTACAATAAAGATGGACAATGTTTTCAAACACGGGGACTATTGCAATCAAGGCATAACGCTAGATGTCGAAGGAATGTAAATATGTAAAGATGGTGGTCCTCATCAAGGACTGATTAGCGGGAAGGTGTTCACCTAAGTCTATCGTGCCACGCGGGGCAATATAAGCATAAAAGGACATATGTATCCAACTGAAGGTTACGGGCTCCACAATAAATAAACCTCAGTGAGACCCATTGATGAAAAATCTTTTTGGGGCGAAGGAAGTCCTTTCACCATTCCGGCTACTAATAATATCATTTAAACCAGGACTAAAAGGTCTGCAAAGTAAAACCCCCTAAAGGTGGCGAATATCAAGACCTCCCCCAGCAGACCCTCCCTTAACAACCACCTCAGGGATCTGACAATCCTTTATATGCCCATTTTATACCCACTATACACCTAATGTATGCCCGTTATACAACTGCTATATGCAAGTTAAATGTTCATTATATGCCCATTAGATACCCAATGTATAATGATCTCCCTCTCTGCGACGGCAGAGCAGAGAACACGCAGTGCAGAGTCAGCAGAGATCAGAGACTCACCTGTTTGATCCATCATATTGTTTTTCTGAGCCCCAACCCCTCCGTAAATTGATGGACAGGGAGTTGGGCCCTCAGAATGTACAGGAAACGTCCGGTCAGTAAAGTGTGTGCTGTGCTGTGGGGGGGGGGGGTCCTCCAATTATGGCCTGCACCTGTAGAGGGCGCAGTCTCTGTTTAAGGAAGAAATAAAGGAGCTGCCATGGCTTTGTGGGAGAGAGTAGAAAAGAGTTTCTCTCATTAACATATATTATAATAAGCTGCAAATTCAACAAGTTTCTCCATAAGTTGAAAGGGTACCCCAGAAATGTGCCCTACTCAGTGGAGCAGGGGGATGGTGGGTCTTATGCACCCATTCCTCCTACAATCTTACGGGACCTCCCCAGGTAAAACAGGGGTTTTGGTCGGTAAGTTACTGCAATGAATATGCAAATCAGATGAGGCAAAAAATAAGGCTCCTAATCTAAATATAGTCTCCCTAAGTCCAAATCCAACTGGAAAACAGTGTTCTATCTGGAGGTGGAGCACACCATGCTCAGCCTTTACATGGCTTGGGCTTAAAGCCCTGTAGATCCTTCAAACTTATACTAGCGCTATCCTCCAGAACCACTATTGGGCCAGGTATAGTACTCTCAGCCAACCATTCTGACCAGATACAGCAGCACATGTCCACCCTCTGGGTGTTATGTATCATGTGCCAAACCCAATGCCTCCCATTTTTATGTGGTGTGCAGAAGGGCATTCATGTCCACCTAACTGAAGCCAAGCAGACCCAATTCTCTTGGTTAGCCAAAGCTAAGATGCCAAGTACTAAGTGTGGGGCTTTCCCAAAGAGGCACATCCATTCAAATTTGGAATAGGGAAGCCCTCACAACTCTCACTCTTCCAAGACTGGATGCTCCATGCAATTCCTTTCCGATAACCAGAACCCCATCAACTTGGGCAGGGTACTCTGCAACCAGCCACTCACAGTTCCCGCTTCTGTCATTCTTTTTTACAAAACATTTCAAACATAAAAAGTGAATCAAGAGTGCTGTGGTCCTCCTCTGGAGATGAAGGACCTTGAAATTCCTGAATACCCTGAGATACAAGGCTTCTGACAGGAACAATGACAACCCAGGTCCTCCTACCAGAAGCCCAGTGGATCCCAATTCTTTGAAGCCCGTGGAACGTGCGTCTAAACAAACTTCCCCCTGTGAACAAAAAAAGTGAACCGTGATATCACAGCACACAAAAGGTGCAAGGCCCTTCAATAAAGAAGGGACCTAAATTCCCGACCCCCGGGGCGCAAGGCTCCTGACAGGGATTGAGACTGTTGGTCCACCTACCCGAAGGCAGACGGACCCCGATCCTCTGGGGACCTGCCGAAACAGGTCCCTCACAGTACTAGGAAGGGGCTCTCCCGATGAGACCCCCTCCCTTGGTTGGGGTCTGGAATGGCAAACACACCTTCAGGGTGCGTTTTAATGGTGACCAATTGTCGCATGACAGAGCCTTTCACATTCCCCAGACCTTTTCCATCGGTAGCAACAAAGGTTTTTTGTGGTGCCAATCGTGGATATAGTGCCATAAATAAATCTAAAGTGCCAGTGCACCACGCTGACAGGCCTTAGGGGCCGGCGTGCATAAAATATTGCCCCAGACTAGCCATAAGGCCTGTCTTGGAGGCGAAGTGCAGAAAAATGCAATGTGGTGTCGTGACCAAGTGCACAGTGAATCACTTGTGGGGTCCCACACCCTAGTGATTTTCTGATGCACCCTTGGGACGCCACCCCCAGGGGGCACGAACATCACGGGCTTCTGCCGCCCCAAACCCTCCAGCCTCGACCAAGCTTCGCATCCGTTCAGTCAGTAGGCAATAGTGCTGAGGAAACTCCCCCCTCTTCCAAAAAGGAGTTGCGTCAAACACCTACCTTTACTCCTGAAGGTACTAAGCAACTGTCCGTCCCAAGGACAGTCCATGCTTTTCCCCTCTGGAACTGATGAGAACAGATTTTTTTTTTTTTTGAATAAATGTCAGCTATAATAAGCAAACTCAACGTCAAACGAACTTCATCAGCACATTCCTAATGTCGAGTCACTAATTCGCATCATCCAAATATTCCATTGTTTTATACCCATCTATTATCCATTTAATAACCAAACCCCAACGCCCACACCCCACCAAAACCCATAATTACCGAAAACGAAACCACTCCCCCACATCGAAACCGCCCTATCCCCCACACATAATACCGGTATAACCTACCAAAGAACATCCGCAGCGCATCCTCCACCGACACACACTCCTTCCGCCCAACCAAACCCCGGCGGTACTGAAACGACCTCACCGGAAGA